GACTACCTCACTACAATTCCCCTTGTAGTCTAAAGAAAAGATTTAGGCTTAATACAAAACTATATACAAAACAGTGAATAACAAGTGTGCTCTAAGAAAAGGAAAATCGAGAACAAAATGACCTACATATCTAGTCCTAGGGTGAGGGCATAATGGAGTTTACAATAGAGTTGTCCTAAGCTGGAAAACGTAAGTCTAGTACCTAATATATCTAACTAGGAAGAGAGAATAATAGTTGTGATAGTTTAATCTTCAACCTCATCAAGACCTGAGAAGGAAATTAACAATACTAGAGTAGACAGGAAATGCGGATGGACAACTTCCAAAAGGTGCAGCAAGGACAGAAACAGCAAGCCACCTGAACAGTCACCCTAGGTCTCACAGCGACGTTGGTACACCCAGATTTGGCTAAGGCCAAGAGAACTTGACAGACCACAACAACAGCAGGGAAATAGAATGGCTGTCTTACCCTGACTTGGCAAGGTCAAGCAGTCTTCTATATTTGTCTCCTGTAAGCACATAGGACTGCATGTTCAAATCAGTGGTCAAGGTGGGGGCAATTCTATGCCCAACAGGCCATTAGCTGAGGCGAGATTGAACTCCAGCAGGAGCAACAACAGTGTCCAACATATTTTCGGGAAAGTGCACGGTGCTGTCAGGAGCAACAGTGTCTCATGTCAATGGAGTACTAATATTAAAACATTTAAATGCCATGTTCTGCATGTCTATGAAGTGATTGAAGATTAAGCATCTATATCTGACTAATCTCATAGGTACAGGAAATGTGAGTGAAGATAATCTGTAATACTCGGGAACTTAGCTAAAAAGACTGATTAAAACTTTCCTGAGTAAAGCAGGAACAAATACTTAAACAATATAACTATTTACATATACCTACATGTAAATCCCTAAAATAGAGGTAGAGTATAAGTGTCAAGACAAGAGGTAGAACTATAAAGGGCAGCAAGATAAATATCCCAAATTGTATCAATATACAAAATGTCTTGAATACAGGAAAAGTATACATATATAGAATATGGTAAAAAAATAATGTGCATAAAATATTATAAGTGGAAACATTTAACACAATATAACAAAATATAAACTTAATTTTACATAGCTTACCACATAGGAATACATAACAATGTAAGCTGTAAAATACTATCTCATTCATACTCAAATTCTCAAGGAAATAGGCTAATCTACTTATATCCCATCTAAACCATACCTTTACCCACCATTCCCTATTCCTGTCTAAAAGATAAACCCGAGTGTAAGCATCACCCAATCCCAAATAACTAAAACCAACCCAAAGACGATGACTATTATCCCAAAATTCCAAGGGTAGGGAAAAGGGGCGTAGTCATATTAAGATTACTTCCTGAGATGTTTATTCAGGGAGAAATAACTTACAACCTAGACAGATGAACACCAGGAAATTCAACCCGATCCTCTCCTGTCAGAGTCATGCCAGAAAGAGAGAGCGCCTTCCTGGCCCCCTCCGACCTCCTTCCTCAGGTCACCTCCGCCCATCGCTCCACCCCCCAATGGGCGTGGTCAGTGCTACAGAAGGACTACCTCACTACAGTATTCCTTTATGTAAATGAATGACATCTTCTTTTCCCAGTCTTGAGTTGAAGAGCATCTAGGTTGTTTTCAGGTTCTTACTATTACAAATAATGCTACTATGAACATAGATTTCTTTGTTCCATAGATGTGGATCATTTATGTATATGACTAAGAGCAGAATTGCTGGGTCCTGTGGTATACTGATTCTCAATTTCTTCACGAATGGCTGTACAAGTTTGCACCCCTACCAGCAGAGGAGGAGTGTTCCCCTTCTTCACATCCTCTCCAGCATAAGCTTATTGTAGTTTAATAAGGATCAGGAGAAACAAATAGGCAAAATAGATGTTTATTCAAGGAGAAATAACTTAAAACATAGACAGATAAGCACCAGCAGGTTCCTGGTCCCAAGGATGCCTTCAGATGCGCTCCTGTCCCCATGCTGCAAGAAAGAGACTGCTCATGGACCTGCTCAGAACTAGTTCCCAGGACCCCAACTTCCTCCCGTCTCCACCTCAAATGGGCATGGTCAATGGCACAGATGGACAAAGCGAATATCTCACTACATAAGCTATCACTGGTGTTTCTAATTTTAGCCATTCTGACAGGAGTAAGATGGTATCTCAGAGTTGTTTTGATTTGCATTTTCTGAATGGCTAAGGATGTTGAATACATTCTTAAGTGCCTTTCAGCCATTTTGGATTCCTTTATTGAGAACTCTCTATTCAATTCTGTATCCCACTTTTTAATAGGGTTATTATGTGTTTTGGTGACTCATTTCGTTTCTTAATTTCTTTGTATATTTTGGAGATCAGCCCTATGCAAGATGTGGGGTTGGTAAAGATCTTTTTAAGTCTGTGGGCTACCCTTTGGTCTTGCTGACTCTGTGTTTGCCTTACAGAAGCTTTTCAGTTTTTGGAAGTTCCATTTATGAATTGTCGATCTCAGTGTCTGTGCTATTGGTGTTATGTTCAGGAAGCAGTCTCCTGTATCAGTTTGTTCAAGGGTACTACCTAATTTCCCTTCTAAGAGGTTCAGTGTGGCTGGATTTATGTTGAGGACTTTGATCCATTTAGATTTAGGTTTTGTGCATGATGGCAGATATGGATCATCTGCAGTCTTGTACATGCCAGCATCCAGTTATACTAGTATCATTTGTTAATGATACTTTTTTTTTCATTGTATAATTTTAGGTTCTTTGTCAAAAAGCAGGTGTTCCTAAGTGTGTGGGTTAATATCAGAGTTGTTAATTCGATTCCATTGGTCTACCTGTCTTATTTTTGTGCCAAAACCAAGCTGTTTTCAGGACTATAGCTCTATAATAGAGCTTGGAGTCAGGGATGGTGATGTCTCAGGAAGTTCCTTTATTTTACATGAATTTTTTTTGGCTAATCTGGGTCTTTTCCTTATCCATATAAAGTTGAATTTTATCTTTTCAAGGTCAGTGAAGAATTGTACTGGGATTTTGATGGCAAGAGCATGGGAGATCTTTCTATTTTCTGGTTCTTCCTTAATTTTTTTCTTTAAAGACTCAGTGTTCTAATTATACAGGTTTTTCATTTGTTTGATTAGCATTACCCCAATAGATTTTATGATGTTAGTTGCTATTGTAAGGGGTGATGTTTTTCTGATTTCTTTCTCAACCCATTTTACTTCGTTAGGGTCATAGGTCTATTTTAATTCGTTATCTATTGTTGATTTAATTTTGGTAAGTGATATCTATCCAGAAAATTATCCATTTCCTTTAAAATTTCAAATTTGGTGTAGTACAGGTTTTCTAAGTATGACCTGAAGATTCTCTTGTGTACCTCAGTGTTTGTTGTTTTGTCCCCCTTTTTATTTCTGATTTTGTTAATTTGCATGTTCCCTCTTGGCCTTTTGGTCAGTTTCGATGAGGGTTTTTCTATCTTGCTAATTTTTTGAAGAGTTAACTCATCATATTGATTCTTTCCACTTTATTGATTTCAGCCCTCAATTTGATTATTTCCTGGTGTGTTCTCCTCTGGGGTGATTTTGATTATTTTTGTTCTAGAGCTTTCAGTTGTGCTGTTAATTCTCTAGTATGACTATCCTCCAGTTTCTTCATGTAGGCACTTTATGTTATGAAATTTCCTTTTAGCATTGATTTCAAAGTGTCCCATAATTTTGAGTATGTTGTGTCTTCATTGTCATCGAATTCAAGGAAGTCTTTAATTTCTTTTTTTATTTCTTCCTTGACCCAGGAATTTTACAATTGCATATTGTTCAATTTCCATGAGTTTTTAGGATTTCTGTAATTTGTATTGTTGTTGAATTCTAACTTTAAAGAACGGTGGTCTCATAAGATATATGGAGTTATTCCAATTTTGTGTACCTATTGAGTTTTGCCATATTGCCAAGTATGTGGTCGGTTTTAGAGAAGATTGCATGTGGCACTTAGAAGACAGTATATTATTGTGGTTAAATAAGGATCAGGATAAACAAATAGGCCGAATAGATGCTATTCAGGGAGAAATAACTTACAACCTAGAGAGATGAACACCAGCAAGTTCCACCAGATGCTCTCCTGTCTGAGCCCTGCCAGCAAGAGAGTGTTCCCCTGCTCTTCCTCAGACATCCTTCCACAGGTCACTTCTGCCCATGGCTCCACCCCCCAATGGGCGTGGTCAGTGCCACAGAAGGAGACAAAGTATATTCTTTTATGTTTGGATAGAATGTTCTATAGATGTGTGTTCAACTGAATTGGGTCATAACTTGTGTTAGTTCCTTTGCTCCTTTGTTATGCTTCTGTCTGGTGGTCCTGTCTCATGGTGAGAGAGGGGTGTTGACATCTCCCATTATAAGTGTGGGAGGTTTTGTGTGTGGTTTGAGTTTTACTGTTTCTTTTACAAATGTGTATATCATTGTATTTGAGGCATAGATGATTATAATTGCGACTACATCTTGATGCTTTTCTCCCAGGATGAATATTAAATGACCTTCCTCATCTCTTTTGCTTGATTTTAGATTAAAGTCTAATTTGTTAGATATTAGGATTTCTACACCTGCTTGCTTCTGGAGTCATTTTGATTGGAACATCTTTTTATTTATAGAATTCTTAAACTTAAGTGAATATATGATCTGAAGTCATTCCGTGAAGTTTATGGAAGCATAATTTGTACATTACTCATTTTGGTTTAGCTTACAATGTACAATTTATTGGAAAATGCATTATAGATATAATTTGTGGTATTCTTTTCTTTTTTGTAATTCATTGTCTCAAATATACATGGGGGAAAGCTGAACAAGAGCCAGGCACCTTAGTTCATACCTGTAACATCACCACTATCGTGGCTAAATCTAGAGGGTGTCATGAGTTTAATGTTAGCCAATGATATATGTCTTACACCAGAAACAAATATACACAAAATTCTCATAATGTATTACTAAATATTTTAAATTATATTTTTCTTTTTACTTTAAGGAACAGCTTTTACAAATTGGAAGATGAAAGCTACAATTCCTCATTTGATTCTCTTATATGCTACATTCACTCAGAGTCTGAAGGTTGTGACCAAAAGAGGTTCTGGTAAGAAATGCCTCTTTTAATTGTAATTTTGTTATCATTTAAAGTGACTATACATATATGTTATTTGTGGTAAGCATTATGAATCCATGTTATATCATAGGTATATAGGGGAAAAGAAAGGATATTATGAAGCAATTACAAAAGTGCTAGTGTGTGATAACGTGGCTTATCTTATATATTACCATGAATTTGAACCTTGAATAAGTTCTATTAACAAATTTTATATTTATATTCCATTACACAATGGAAGTTTTGATGTTCTCTTACAGATTATCATTGTTATATGGACCATTATTGTGGATTATTTTAATTTACTTCTTAATACTATTATTTTCTTAATAACTATGTCTATAGTAGATTCATTCAAGCGCTATACTTCAGCTGTTTTGTTGAATTACTGATTTCCAGTAAAAATAGTGTCATTTAAGGAAAGGATGTGTCATTTACTGTAATATATTTTGCAAGAAAAAGAATAGGGTGATAATGAAATATGGTGGTGACTCAATTATTATTGAAATCCATACTATTTACATGTTATTAGGCACCTTATTTTCCAATTGTTTCTCCATAGTTGGAGGTGGGGAATAATATAATGCTAAAATGAATACATGTTGATTTTAAGTTTTGTTTAGTATGCTATTGATACAATTTGTCATTGCCATTTTCCCACTTCACATGGGATTATTTTGGTTTTGAAGCTTTTAGGCTTAAGAAACAATGGAGGAATTGAGTTTAGCTGCTCTAGGTACAGTTTGCTTTTTGAGGTTTCACGAGACAAAAACAAAGATTGTGGTGAGTTTCAAAAGGTTGCAGTGTTGTGACATCATGATTTGGAATACTATAGCATCTGCTGCGTGTTGATGGGATAGTGTAAACTGACACATGTAAAGAAGTAAGTGAGCAGCACTTCTGCTTTCATGAACCCCCTCCTTCGCATAAAGTTCAGGGGTTAATTGAGAAAAGATTTGTGTGTGGTTCAGTACAAGAAATTTTATAGGAAATATAGAAAAATAATGTTTGTAGTTTTGCACATTATTTCATCTATTTTTGTGGATATTTTTAAATTCAAGAAAATAATAAGCTGAGATTATGATTTTTGATTAAATCTTAAAAGCTTCATTTTCCTGGTTATTATAGCTCATTATATAAAATATGTTTTTTAGAGATCTTTAGGCATGTGTTAGATGTATGATTTATTAAAATGCAAATGTGACCTTTTCTCATCATAAAATAGTAGTGACAGGTCTATATAAGTTCTGCTTTAGTAGCAAGAAATTCTTTGTTTTTTAATCAAAGTGGAGCTTCCTATGTTTGAGAAATATGGAGCAGAACTAGAAATGTGGGACAACTAGGCAATTCATATAACTTGTTCTGGAGAAATAGAAAAAGCTCATTGATTTGTTTCAAATGTAAACTTTATTTTAATGATATGAATACAAATTAGGATACTATTATTAAGATGTCCCAAATTAGAAATATTTTGCACTCCTCAGTTTATAAATACAATTGTCACATACCTACTTCTCACTTCTCAAAACAATTTGTTTTTATATAACTATACAAAAAGCAAAGAAGGCAAGTGAAATATTTGCCATTGCTGATTCTTCTCTATAATTTAAATTGTGACTCCTTCCTTCCAAAGTGTGTGTTAAGATTCTGGTGAATGCTAGTCTGTTTAGGTGATTTGAGTGTGTTGATTGTAAAACTAGAGATTCAATATTTTTTTTCATGAATGTTCATAGCATCCACTCATTTTCACTGTTCTTGTTACCAGGGCTGCTCTCCTTAAGAGAAACAAATATATGTAGCTTGCTGAATACAGTCATTACTGATTTCTATAGATCAGGTATTTTCACCTTAGAAGATAAATGTCTCAATCTTCACAATCATCCCAATTGACAATGCCAGAGGCAACAAGGTCTGAGAATCAGAATCAATTTTTGATTGAGCTTGCTTATTAACTAAATGGTTATTTATTTCTATTCTTCTCATTTATTTTTTTGTTTTGAGTTTATGAATCTTTATTAGGTTCAGTAAACACAATTCAAGATCCAAAGCTTTTCAGGTGCATTATACTGTAATATTATTTTTGTTTCCCTGTGAACACAAGAAAAAGGAGATACTTCCATAATTAACAATATATAAAATATGACTAAAATGCACAAGGAAATGTTGAGTTTTATGGCACATTAACTGAGTATAGTGTTTACTACAGGCTAACACATAAGGCTACTCCATAAAAATTTAGAAGGAAGTATAAGTTTCTTATTAACAAAACTAATTGAAAAGCCATAGAAGCTCCTGTACAGAGGTACATTATTTTTATCACCTTGATTTACACTATTCTTGGTATTAATTTAAGGAACAAATTATACCTAATAAGGCACTTATATTACTGTTGATTCCTGGGAGAAATATTCAAAATATAAATTTGTTTCATTTTAAGTAATCGTTTCTGATATGTATATGTTATGGATTGAATCTGACCTCTCAAGTAATGATTGAATGTTGTGCATACATTGAGAATCAAGAATTTTTCAGAAATAAATATTCAGCTGCTGCTATACAATAGATTATTTTTCTGAAACAATTTTACATGTAAAAATCTAGGCAGTACTTGAAGTTATATTCTCCTAATATTGCCACTATCCACAAATCTGTGAAATGTCACAACAATTTAGTAAGTAAGCATCTGAGTTTCCCTCAATTGTTGAATTTTTACAAAAGCATATAAAGCAAATGCTTGTTTTAAGCTTCTTTTGGTCCCAGATGCAAAGGACCTAGGTTGTATCCCATGCAGGCTCCCTAGCTCTCCATCCAGAGTCCATGAGCTCCCACATGGGAGGCCTTCCCTCATCTGAATGGAGATAAGAGTAGGACAGGATGGGGAGTAGTAAAAGGGAGATAGTGGGAGGAGAACATGAGGAGAGGAAAGCATTGAATACTCTAACTTAATATTTCTATTTGACTTTCCCTTGTCTTTTTTTTATTCGATTTATCACATTTCCACCTCTCCTATATTCTGTACTTCCCTGTTTTACTCTTCTCCACTCTCCTATCCCTACCTGACATCATTTCCCCTGATTTCTGTGTGTCATGTTCTCTCTTTCTCTCCCTGTGCCCCCTTCTTTTTTTTTATTTTAGGTTTTATTGTAAGTAAAAAGCAACTCACTTTTATATTGCTACTATGTCTTTGTACTACTGATTTAGCCAGTATTTTGTATAATAGGCAAGTGGTCTATCACAGAAGCACAGACCACATCTTCATAATTAGTTCGTGAACCTTCCTAGTGCTAGAATTACAGGTATCCAACAACACATACAACTACAATTTCTTTTTGTAATAATCATTTGTGATATACCTATGAATTTCATTGCCAACTTAATTTTCTCTGTCAATACCACTTTATATAATTGCTCTAGATTAATACCAGTGATGGAGAATTATGCACATACATGGTCAGTTTGCATGGATAAAACTCAACATGTATGACACTTTCAAGATGACTAAGATCTTAGGGGATGTACTATTTCAAGTTAAGTCATACAGCAGAATGGCACTACATGATGATAGTAAATGAAAGAAAAACAATATATTATTCTATATATTTAATGCTGAGGCAAAGGATTGAGATAATACCACTAATTGGGACAGAATTGATGTTTCTTTAACAGATTAGCACAGCTATGCTGCTTGAGATTAAATGATCAAGTCAGTTAGAACTTGGGAAATTATAGAAAAGAATCCATCTTTTCTTTTCCTTGACCTTTTTTTCCTGATTGCACATCTTGCACATCACTCTGAATGTGCCTGCACTGTCACAGCTCTTTCTCTGACTTTGATTCATTTGCCTCTTTCCCCAACTTATAAATACTTTAGATTATTGGGGGCATTCTAAGATAATTCAGGACGATACACTTAGTAATAAGTTCCTTAATTTAATCAAATTAGCAAACCCCTTTTGAAGGTAATTTAATATCGTAGTCACAGATTTGAACGATATGGAGTGAAACATATTTCTACCAACTTTATTTTGCCTACCACAACTTATGGTTTACTATTTCAAACACCTATCTCACTGGTTTGGATACTACAGAAAGAATGGGAATTCAGAGTCCAAACAGAAATAAGAGAACTAGTGAAAAAGAAGTTGCATAGTTTTGCTAAATGGGTCAGAAGATCCCAAGGTACCTGCAGAGAAAAACTAGTCATATAAAATGAGGAGGAACATGAAATGAAGGTCAGAGGAAAGGGAAGAAAGAGGAACTATGAAGGAACAAACAGCAACCAAACACTAATGATACTTTAAAATATGGGCATACTTCAGTTGCATTCTCACTCCACAAAACACTTTTAGAAACAAACATTTTTTTTTCCTTGAATTAACTTGTAAAGAAGTATCTGTCTTTTTAAAGTGTGTGTGTGTGTGTGTGTGTGTGTGTGTGTGTGTAGGGGAGAAATGGATACAAAAATGACACTTTAAATCAAAGTAACATCAGTGAGAATAGGGAAAACAGAAGATACAGCAATTTTTAATGATAGTATCCATTGAGCTTGATTATAAGTTGGATGTAGGATGTTGGAAAGAAAGTGGCAAACAAAATCATTCTGTAATGGTGGAATTTTGATTCTCACTATCATATTAGAGTTTCCAGAAGCAGAGAAACTTGAATGACTACTTATTTAAAGGGAGCAACAAAAAGATATGTACAAAAATACATCAGGGGCAGTAGCATGTCAAGATATTCCATGTTCCTCATAAGATTAGGGATTTCATCTTGTTTAATTACTTTAAATCCATTCCATAAGAAATTTAATGTGTATGATGAAGAAGACTATTTACTGCTCTTTTCTGTGTATGGATTAGATGAAGCTACTTGTTGCCTATGTAATGAGGCTGCACACATCTGTATGACTTCAACAGGGAATCTGTCTTAACACAGAAAGGAAGAGACAACAGAGTAAAATATAGTCTTAGACAGGTAATCCTCCCTGTGAG